ACGTATTTTTCCTATGTCACTGTGGTGACTGTGTAGGTACAGGCAAACAGACACCCAGCTCTGTATGGGCAAAGCCGCGCAGGGTTGGTTCCAGCTGGTACTCAAGAATAACAATCATGGACCAACTCGTCATTTAGAGACCTCCCCACGCCAGGGAGAACTAGAGTGCCATTTGGAGCCCTTTTTTGCTCTTTTACCATTAACTAAAACCTCTTTTTTCTTCAAACCGACAGCAGCCCGCTGCACACAGATGTTATTTTGCTTCCAGCAAAGATCGAGAACTCTCTCAGTTGTCTTTCTCTCTGCCCCCCCCACCCGCCCGTGCGCCCCCCCCCCCCATCCCCCTCCCTCCCCCCCCCAAACCCCAACCCCAGCAAAACTCCCACCAAGCCCGATTGCTGATGTCAATGCCAACCTTTCAACCCCAGTCCTGGCTCACCAACTGACAGCACAGTCCCACGTAAACAAAAGAGACAAAGGGGATTTACTGGCTCGGAGTTCATAGAGAAAGGATGATGGGGGTTTTGAAGAGGCACGGCTTCACAAGACAGCAGGGCAGTTTGTAAACACAGAGAGCTCCAGGCTCCTTCAGAAAGCCGGGCAGGCACAATGGATCAAATGGCCTCCTCCTGTGCTAGGAGTTTCTATGGATTACTGTACTGAACACACACACACACACACACACACACAACCAACGCACAAGTCGAAACAATTCAAAACCCTTTACGGGATGTAATAATAATAACCCTCGCGTTTGATATAACACCTCATCACGTCATCAAGACGTTTCGAAGTGCTCGGCAGGACATTCTGCAAAGTGAAAAGTGACTACATGCTGTGGGCGAAGCACGGCGTCTAGTTTGCACCAAGCAACGTCCCACAAACCGCCGCAAAGTGAACGACCAACTGTATCTGGGGCGTTGTCAGCTGGCACACCGGGAGAGAGGAAGTCCGCTCTCTGTTTAAGTAGGGCTGCGGGAATTTTAACGTCCAACTGAACAGGCAGATGGGACCTCTGAAGGGCAGAACCTCAGACAATGTAGCGCTCCACACCCCCCCAGTACTGTACTAGGAGGCGTCATGAGCTCAAAGTCCCCGACGTGAGGCTTGAACCCCCCATCCTCTGACTAAAGGCTGAGCCAGGCTGATATGCAGCTGACCCCTCCTGGCTCTGGTTCTCTCTCTCTTTCTCTGGGTCAAAAGAAACCTCAAAAAAAATTTGGGGGGGGGGGGGAAGAAACTGGGGCAGTACAATTGGGAGGAGGTTTTAAGATCATTTTCCTGACGTGCGAGAGGGAAACTCAGGGATGGAGACGGGGAGAAATGGGGACTCGCCAGGGAATTGACGTCAGGGTATCAGAATGTTGCACTTTAGCACGCAGAGCCTGCAGAGTGCTTCAGCGCCGCACGCACTCACAAACAGCAGCCACAGCAACAACAACTTGCATTTATATAGCGCGGAGCGCGAGAGCCGGGCAGCGTCTTGGAGCGCTTAGCAATGGCGGAGCCCGTAACCTACATTCCATTACGTCTCACTGATCGACAGGCACGTCAGGGTTTATTACAACAGCCCAAACTGTGGGAAACCTCTGCAACTAACACCTCTCAGCCTGTAGGAAACTAAGTGCTATAAACACACACACTCCCAGTGAAGTGTGTATATATATATATATATATGTGTGTGTGTGTGTGTGTATGTGTGTGTGCGCACGTAGATTTCTGAGACGCTACTCATGTGAAGGATGCTGTATAAGCACAATCCGTTGTCGTCGTCGTAAAATTGAGCACTAATGATTAAAATAATAATCCTTGCATTTGAGACGCTCTCGAGACGTCTCAAAGCGCTTCACGGAATCTACTGTAAAGCGCAGTATATTTGGTTGGCCAAAAGCTCCAGCCAATTGCTCAAGTAGCTTCTCACTCACTTCTCAGCGAAACCCTTGTGTGGGCCAGTCCTGAGCATTGCTCGGTACCTGATAAGAGATCCGGTAAAGTTTTGTTATTCAGACCATATGGTCTCCGCTCAGTGGGGCCGCGGTTTGAGAGGGAGCGATGACAGAATAGGGAGTTCATTACTGTGAACGTGAGTCTTGTCATTTCAGCTCCCCACTACACTGTGAGGTTCACCAGCACTCAATCACTCTCGCTCTCACACACACACACACATACACACATACACCACACACACAGGGCTTGAGAAAACGTCAAATAAAAGCCACACCATCAAACCCAAGCGACTATTAACTGAGATCCCAGAAACAAGTAGCCAGTCCAGATGCGAGTGTGGAAACATCCACAAATCAAAGGTTTAACCCTAACAAAGCATTCCAATGAATCCCACTCACTCACTCACTCAGTCAGTCTAAGAGAGGAGAATGAGGCTGAGAGGAGAGACAGACTGATTGACTGACTACCTGTGAAAGCGATTATTATGTAATAATAATAATAATAACCCTTGCATTCGATGGCTATCTTCTAGACGTCTCAAAGCGCTTCACAGAATAGACTGTGAAGTGAGTTGACTGGGGAAAATCCGAGAGATAGAGAGAGAGAGAATCGCCGGAAACAGTGATCTTTTCATTATACTTTTAATCCTCTGACTCCGCACCTCACACCCGCCTGTAATCTCTGCACTTCAGAGAAATGGGTCCTTGCCATAGATATTACAAACCGCCCCCTTCTCTCACCCCTACCCCCACAAAATCCCCTCCCCTCTCTCACCCCCGCATCGCTCCCCTCTCTCATCCCCCTCCATCACAACCCTCCCCACTCCACCCCAAATCCCCCTCTCTCAACCCCCAAAACCTCCTCTCTCATCCCAAACCCACCCTCTCACCCCAACCCCCTCTCACCCCCACCCCAGCCCACCCAATATGCCCCTCTTTCACCCCCCAAAACCCCCTCTCTCACCACCAAAACCCCCACTCTAGCCCCAACCCGCCCAATACACCACTCTCTTACCCCCAAAGCCCCCGCTCTCTCACTCCCCAAACACCCCCTCTCACCCCCCAAATCCTCCCCTCTTAACCCCCCAATTCTCCCCTCACACACCCCCAAACCCTCCCCTCTTAACCCCCCAATTCCCCTCTCACACACCCCCAAACCCTCCCCTCTTAACCCCCCAATAACCCCTTCTCTCAACCCCCAAAACCCCCTCTCTCATCCCCCGAATCCCCCCTCTCACCCCCCGAATCCCCTCTCTCACCCCCCGAATCCCCTCTCTCACCCCGAGTCCCCTCTCTCACCCCCGAGTCCCCTCTCTCACCCCCCGAGTCCCCTCTCTCATCCCCCCCGAGTCCCCTCTCTCACCCCCCGAGTCCCCTCTCTCACCCCCGAGTCCCCTCTCTCACCCCCCGAATCCTCCTCTCTCTCACACCCCAAAACTCTCCTCTCTCATCCCCCAAACCCCCCTCTTAACCCCGCCACCGAATCTTCCCCTCTTTACCCTCCCCAATACCCTCCCCCCCGCCCCGCTCTAACCCAGCCAAAACATCATCCCAAACTCAATAGCCAATGCACCTCCCCCCCCCCCTCAGCTCACATCACAATGTCCCACACATCAGCCAACCCCACCCCAATCAATGTCCTCCAATTACCACCACCCCCACCCCCCCCACTCCCCAACTTGGCTCACAGACTTCCACCCCAAATTTCCAAACTGCCCCCATCCGCCGCCTGTCCCATCCTTGAGACATCTCAAGTAGAGGGGGGAGAGGGGGCAGAGGGGGGGGCCAGGGACGGGGTGAGTGGTGGGCTGGGGGGGTGGGGAGATGGGGTGGTGGCGGGGAAAGGGAGGTGCCGGCAAGGGCGGGGAGAGAGGGTGGGGGGTCAGGGTGGGGAGAGAGGGCGCGAGCCAGGGTGGGGGAGAGAGGGGGTGGTGGGCACCGGGGTGGGGGAGAGAGGGGGCGCCGGGGTGGGCGAGAGAGGGGTCCGCAGGGGGGGAAAGAGAGAGGGGAGAGTGGTGAGGAGGGAGCATGGTGGGGAGGGTGGGGGAATAGGTGGCAGGGTGGGGAGAGAGGGGGGGTGGGGGGTCAGCGTGTGGGGAGAGGTAGGGGTTAAACCCCCTCCCAAACAGGTTGGTTACTCTTAAAGTGGGAACTTCCAGTCCTGACAGTGAACCCAAACCAGAGGAACCCAAGAGATTTAATGAGTATTGCCCAAAGATAGGGGCTTTTACCCCATCTGTCACCCACCTCCCCTCCCAGGACAATAACCCCCCCACACACACACACACATTCTCTTCAACCCCCCCCCACACCCCCCCCAAAAAACACCCACAAAATCACTCGCGATCCCTCCCTTTTTTTTAAAAAACACATCAATGTTTTTAACCATGAAATCACTTTACTGACATTGTCCATTTCATTTCATTTCCTCCTCTCCTCTCCTCTCCTCTCCCCCCAAACAAAAACTATATGGGGGGGAGAGAGAGAGAGAGAGAGAGAGAGAGAAAAGGGGGAGAGAGAAAGGTCTATTTCAAACATTAAAACAAAGAAGTTAAAGGAAAACCTGAAATAAAAACGAAGAATAATATAGAAATAAATAAAAAGCAGCACAAACAGTGTGTGTGTGTGATTTACCTGTGTCTCGGAGCTCTAAGTGTGTGTGTGTGTGTGTCTCACTCTCTCACTTGTGTGTGTGTCTCACTTTTCTGTGTGTGTGTCTCACTCACTCACTCAATTTTGTGTGTGTCTCACTCACTCACTGGTGTTTGTGTCTCACTCACTAACTTGTGTGTGTGACTCACTCACTCACTCACTGGTGTTTGTGTCTCACTCACTCACTTGTGTGTGTGTCTCACTCACTAACTTGTGGTGTCTCACTCACTCACTGGTGTGTGTGTCTCACTCACTCACTGGTGTGTGTGTCTCACTCACTCACTGGTGTGTGACTCTCACTTGTGTGTGTGTGTGTCTCACTAACTTGTCTGTGTGTGTGTCTCACTCACGTGTGTGTGTGTGTGTGTGTGTGACTTACTTGTCACTCACTCACTCACTTACTTGTTGTTGTAGTTGTGTGTGTGTGTGTGTGAGAGAGAGAGTGTATAGATGGAGCGATGTGATGCCAAACACTTTATCCTTTCTCTTCTCCTCCTCCTCCTCCTCCTTCTTCTTCTTCTTCTCTCCTTCTTCTCCTCTCTCCTCTTCCCTTCTCCCCTCTCTCCTCCTCTCGGTGTGACTCTGGTCCTCAATCTCTGAAGCCCTTTTGAAACAGGTTGAGACTGGAAAATAACATTTAAATCACCCCCTGGGGGCACGTCACAGTGACGTGGAAAAAACTTTTTGAAACAAACCAGATCTTTTTACACCCCCCAACCTCCCACACCCCCCCCCCCCCCCCACCACACACACACACACAAAGAGCCCTTAAAAGTTTAGACTCATGGCTTTGGCTTCCTTGATTTGTTTTTGCAGCGCGGCAGAGCTGGTGCGGTTTCCGCGGTCCCAAAGAAGAGACGTCGCAGTCTTTGTTTCGACTCGAAGCGATGGTGAAAGTTCGATAAAAGGCAACCCAACAAAAAAAACAACGCTCGCGGCGCTTCCGACAGTTTGGTTTCTGGTCGAATTCCTCCTCCTTTCGTTGTAAAGCGCAGGGTATAATAATAATAATAATAATAAGAGTAGTAATAATAATAATAATTCTTGCGTTTGACCCAACGCCTTATCGCGTCCTTCGGGACGACTCGAAGCGCTTCGCGGGATGTACTGCAAAGTGAATTGATATTTTTTGGGGGTGTATTTTTTTTGGGGGGGGTGTGGGTGGGGTGGCGGGGTGGGGGGGTGTGCGAAACGCGGCAGCCAGTTGCGCACGGCGGCGTCCCACGAACAGTGGTGAGTGGCCTCCGCCTGTCCCTGTTTTCCTACGTTCCTATCTCTGGCTCGGGCGCACGACACGCGCGCGCACATGAGACAAACACACACACACGACGCACACACACACATGACACGCACACACACGACACACACAAACACGCGCACATGACACACAGACACACACACGCGCGCGACATAAACACACACACGTGACACAAACACACACATGACACACACACCAATGGCAGCCTATTGCGCACAGCAGTGTCGCGCATTCATTGGATTGAGTGACCAAATTATTATTATTTTGTTCAGGGTGTTCACAAAGTCCTGTTACCCACCCCACCCCCCCCCCCCCACTCCATCCCCCGATCCCAGTTTTTTTTCTGACAATCAATAAATTTTTATTTTCTGTTACGAATAAAATTCGAGTGTAACATTGTTTGATACCAGTAACTTCCTCCTCATTGACGCCCTCCGTGTTACAGAAGATAGGGCCCCGATTATGGCGACCGATCATTATCTGCCGTGAAAATGATGGCGCTCACACACACTCACACACGCACTCACACAGACACATATTCACACTCTCACACACACTCACACTCACACAGACACACGCACACAATCACACAGAGACACACACACATTCACACAGAGACACACACACTCACACAGAGACACACACACACTCACACAGAGACACACACACTCACAGAGATGCACACACACACACACACACACACACAGATCCTCTGGCTGTCGAAATACAGTTAAACACTGAATACAATTAAGTAACTTCTAAATACAATGATCATCGTTCATCACTGCAGAAAAATAACACATGTGTGCGTGCGTGTGTGTGTGTGTGTGTGTCAGCACAGGGCGGTGTTTTATGAGGTGGTTGTTGTTGTAGTTGCTACTCACTGACATCGTTAACCTTTCCCTGTCCTCTGGTACTGCTCCCACCCCTTTAAAAAACGCTGTCATCACTCCTACCCATAAAAAAACCCTCCCTGGAACCTTCTCTACTCCCTAACTACCGCCCCATCTCCAACCTCCCTTTCCTCTCCAAGGTCTTGGAATGAGTTGTTGCTTCCCAGCTTCACTCCTTCCTCTCCCGTCACTCCCTGCTCGAACACCTCCAATTGGGTTTCCGTGTCGCCCACAACACAGAAACCGTCCTGGTCAAAGTGACAAATGACATTCTGTCCACCTGCGACCAGGGCTCCCTCTGCCTCCTCGTCCTCCTTGACCTCTCTGCTGCTTTAGACACCTCTCATCCACTTCCCCTCCTCTCACCTCAACCTCCACGGCGCTGTCCTTGACTGGCTCAGATCGTGCCTCTCACACCACCTGCACGTCATCTCCTCAAACGGCTTCTCCTCTCGCCCCCGCACCGTCTTGTGCGGCGTTCCTCAGGGCTCTGTCCTTGGTCCCCTCCTCTTTAACATCTATATGCTCCCTCTTGGTGACATCGTCCGCAGACATGGGGTCAATTCCACATGTATGCAGATGACACCCAACTCTACCTCTATGCCTCCACCCTCGATTCCAGGACCCACTGCTGTCCTGACGGAATGTGTGTCAGACATCAAGTCCTGGATGAGAACTAACTTTCTTCAGTTGAAGGTCAACAAGACCGAGGCTCTCCTGATTGGCTCCTGTCAGCGCCTCCTCACCTCAGGCGCTGACAGCATCTCCATCCATGGTTGCACACTCCACCTCACTGAGCCAGTCCGGACCTTGGGGTCTTGTTTGACCCTCAAGTATCCTTTCTACCCCACATCTGCACCATGACCCACTCCGTCTTCCCCCACCTCCGCAATGTCACCCAGCTCGAACACTGTCTCACACCGCAGGCCGCCGGGAGCCTCATACACGCTTTCATTACATCGAGGCTCAACTATGCGAACTCCCTGCTTGTCGGCCTCCCCAACTCCTCCCTCCACAGGCAGCAGATCATCTCGAACTCTGCAGCCCGTGTCCTCTCCCGTACCAGGCTCCGTGACCCTATCACCTGCTTTACGTCCTCTGCCTTGCTCGCCCCACTTTTGGTGGGTGGGCCTTCCACCACTCTGCTTCCACCCTCTGGAACTCCATCCCTCAATCTCTCCGCCTCGTCTCCTCCCTCGCAACCTTCAAGACCCACCTCAAGATCCCTCCTCTTTGACCGTGCTTTCGATCTCCCTGCTTCCCCCTCCGCCTTCCCACTTCCCCCACCCGACCCCAGGGTCTGTAACTCTGTCAGCGCCTTGGGAATTCCTCCCGACGCTATACAAATGTTGTTGTTGTTGCTGTTTATTATTGTTAATAATAATAATCATAATAATCCTTGCATTCCATTCAGCGCCTTATAATGCTGGAAGGATGTCTCAAAGTGCTTCACAGGATTTACTGTGAAACGCAGTGAGTGTGTATTTTCGAAAAGCGCTGTGAGATCTTTAACATCCACCACCCTCTCTCCCCCACCCACCGCCCCTCTCCCCACCCACCCCCCTTCTCTCCCCCCATTCCTCTCCCCTCCCCACACACACACAGACGGGCCCTCGGTTTGAATGACAAAATGTTTATTTACTATTTCAACAGGCAGACGGGACCTCGGCTTAATGTTTCATCCAAACAACGGCACCCCCGACAACACAAGCCCCCCCAAACTCCCACGCTACATTGGAGCGTCGTTTAGACTGTGCGAGTCAAACCTTCTCGACTCCGAGGTCGAAAGTCCTCCCGCTGCGCCAGGCTGACACACAGTGTTGTTTTGGTGTTGTTAGGCCGGCTGTTGTGCGGTTGATGACGGTGGTGATTGTGGTATGTTTTGCAAACACAGCCCCATCTCTCTGCTCCCAGCTGGTGCTGACCGCAGAGCAGTAAGTCACTCACTCTCAGGAATTGGAGGAGTGGAAAGATAGCCTCAGAATCCCAATTGAAACTTCCTGTCGCAGGCCAAGTTTTACCGGGCGATAAAGCCGCACCATTAACATTAACTGGCCTCTCAAGCAAGACCCTGACACAAACCGGCAGCGCACAGCAAATGTGCCACAAACAGTCACGAAACAAGTAACTAATTTTATTTGGGGGTTTGTTGGCCAGGACTCAGGAACTCCTCTATTTTTGAACAGCGCCGGGGGAGCCTTCTGCCTGTTCGATACCTCGGTTTAACATCTCATCAGAAGGAAGGCACCTCCAACAATGCAACCCCCTCCCAGTGCACCGCAACAATAATTTACATTTTATGAGCCTTTCGTGCCTCAAAGTGCTTCACGTAACTGATTGGCAAGGGGAGGGGTGGGTGGGGTGGAGGGGAGGGTGAGGGCGGAGGGGTGAGGGAGGAGTTGAGGGGAGGGGGGATTAAGGGGGCTAGGGGGAGAAAATGCCATTGGTGGCTATCAGTGACTGCGCTGGGTGTGTCCCTGTTAGTGGACCGGGAGGGAATGACGAGAACTTGTTCCTCAACCACTAGCGACGATGGACTTCCTCCCGCAAACGTTGACCGGGATGGTCAGGCCTGGTTGGAGGCGGTTACCTGGGGCAGGAGAGAGAGGGAGGAGGTGCCTCTGCTCTTGGTGTCTAAATCTGGGCAGCGATCGCCTTCGAAATACCCTTGGCAAAATACACAGTCACTACACTTTACAACAACAACAACAAAGTTACATTTGTATAGCGCCTTTCACATCGGGAGGACGTCCCAAGGCCCTGGACAGTCAGAGTTGCAGAGTTACAGCACGTTTGGTAAAGGGATAAGGAATATCACGCGTCAGTAACGTGATAAGAAGGCGCTGCGGTGAAAAGGAACCATTATTAGCGTATTTTTTAATCAGACGTTAAATTTGCTCTCAGTCTTCCCCGGACGGGAAATGGAGGAGTTTGGGAGCAAGTTGTGCTGTCGGCATTGCGAACCTTATCAGATGTGCTGACAGCTGTGGAGCGCTGTCTCAGAACAAGACCTGACCACAGAGCAGAGTAAATACATATTTAAGGAGGGACGGGGAGGAAATCACCCGCTATCGATCTCGTCACCACATCCACCCAACCGTCCCCTCTCATCACACGGTCATGTTCGATAACAAGCTCAGGAACTACTTTTTTTAGTAAACAGCGACACGTTTGTGTGTGTGTGTGTGAGCGGTGCTATGTATGTGTATGTGTGCGCATGTGTGTGAGCAGCACTCCGTGTGTGTGTGTGAGCGGCGCTATGTGTGTGTATGTGTGCGCGGCACTGTGTGTGTGTGTGTGTGTGAGCGGGCACTGTGTGTGTGTGTGTGCGCGGCACTGTGTGTGTATGTGTGCGCGGCACTGTGTGTGTATGTGTGCTGGGCACTGGGTGTGTGTGCGGGAATGAACTCCCAGCACAGCCTCTTATCTGAAGCAATGTTCCGATACCCCCAGTACTGCGCTGGAGTGTCAGCTTAGACTATGTGATTTCAAGTCCCGACGTGGGGCCTTGAACCCACAACCTCAGAGGCGAGAGAAAGAGAGAGAGAGAGCTACCCACTGAGACA